CGAGACTATAAAAAGAGCGTGATGAGAGGGCGACGCGACATTCGTGTGACCGACCCCCATCTCCAGCGTGTAGTTTGAACTGTGATCCCTACGCCAGTGCAAAGATGAGCCGACCGTTCTCAAGAGAAGAGTTCGCACCTATTCACCAGGTAGCAATTGTACCAAGGGACTTCCCAAACAGAGTGTTGACATTTGCGGAAACAGAAGAATTCGGCGACGCCCTAAACCGGTGCGTGATAAAATACACAGAAGCCAGGAAGAAAAGATCATTAAGATATGTACAACCAGGATTCTCGACGTTCTTTCGTAAGAACGGAGGGATCCTGCTGACCTGTGATACGGAAACAACCGTCAAGTGGCTTAAAGTGGCCATCAGATTTGTTAAACTAGAAAGTGGCTGTGAACTAATAATCGAAGACAAGGCAGCACTCGACAATCGCTTCGCCTGGTGGAAGGCAGGGGTACGCACTCTCGATTCACAGGTGCGAATATTATACGCGATCTACAGAAGTACAACAGTGACATTGATGTTTCGCGATGGAAGGTAGTGCGGGAGAAGCCTACCAGATCCGGCTTGATCATCACGCTGGAGATGGAGGGGAGGTCGGTTGGATTATTGAAACGCAAAAGGAACAGACTGGCGCTGGACCAGGCGGGCGTACACAAATTCACGATACTCACCGTGACACCGGCCAAGAACATCAGGCCGATGCGGATACCAATAGAAGTGGAGATATCAGAGGAAGACTTTAAAGTCGACCCGAAAGAGGGGACCGAGGAACACACCGACAATGTGGGAACAACGGCCCACCTGAACGACTCGACGTTTATCGAGGACGTACCCTCGCAGAGGGAAGAGAACAACTCCTCCTTCGACGATGCCGGCGATGAGTTTATCTTATCTGCAAACCTAAACGGCTACGAAGGGATGGAGGTAGTTGTCTCGGACGAATTGGCAAAAATCCTGGACGATGGATCGTCCCTGAAGAGGGGCACCTCGACACCGGCGAAACCGAACACGACCATGGCCAACGGCCTCGCACACGAAAAAGAGAAAACGACAACCAAACAAGACACGAAAGAGGGCTCTATGACGAACAAAGAAAACGAGGTGGACCTGGACGAATCCCTATTAAGAATATCGCTACCGCTGGAGGAGCCGACCGAAAACGTATCGTCCACACTAAGATTATATAATAAAAAGGAAGGAACTAAGAGCGGAAACGCAGGAACACAAGGAAAAACAAAACATGACAGGTCAGTTTTCAAAATAATAATAAAAAATCCTTTATTCAATTCCCAGAACATTATTACAAAATATTATAAAAAATGTACGGAGACAGAACCAACACTCTAGTCCTAATCAAGGACGGAGAGACCGTCCCGGTCTCCTGACTGGGACAACGACGGAAACCGGGAAAGACGCCCGATCGAACCTGAAAATAAAAGATTAGAAGTATGTTATTAATCTGATTTCTTTCCATGTTCAAAAACACAGAAGTCACAGGAAACAAACTCACCGCAATGGAAACGTTACCAGCGGCGGAACCATCGAAGCGTAAGATAACCTGCGAACGGGAAAATCCTTGAAAACGTCGAACGTATGCCAACCACGGAGAACAAAGACCAAACAAGGAGAAACACAACCTGACTGAACAGAGAGAGACCAAATTATCGATATATCGAAATATAACCTTATAAAGTAAGAGTATATGTTTAAGAACACGCGAAATTACTATCAATGTTGTCCTAGTCGTAAGTGTTTTTGTTGTCCTGAGTTTAACAGTAACGTCAACCGGGGAATAAAAATTTTATAAAAACGACGTGTCATAAGATTAACGAAAGTAATAGAAAGAACTCTATCCAGCTTATTTTAGCTTAACTCGATTGTCACTCTTATAATAACCAATGCAGTTGGCCGAAACCACGAAAACAAATATTATCTGAACAATAATTAAAACAACGTCGTTCTATCCACGAATATTTGAACTGGAAAAATACTACGACAAATCCAACAATAAATCGATTGACGCGGCCACCGGAATAACGTTAAGATTAACTACTAGTAAATAAACAAAAGAAATTAACGTTGTTTTCGTTCACAACATATAAAAATTTATTAATGATTACTAGCATTTAACCGCGTAACGGACAAGCAGCCGTTAACAGGTCGTTAACCGTCGCGGAAATAATACTATACACATCGATATTATATATTTATTTATTTATTCATTTTTCAAATATACATACACATGTCGTTACCGACACGTATAGGTACAAGCTTAATGCGAATACCATAGACGATCGCGAGAAAACACAGTCGAAACTCCTCAATCTAAAGTATTATATTTATTTATTTATTTATTTAAATTTAACTAACGAGACTGGTATAATTTTGCGAAGTAGCATAGAAGCATACAATGTATCGTAATCGTCACAAAGACAATTCAGCGAATCTCGCATACTTCCAATGATAAAAAGAAAATGTACGAAATGTTCTTGTACCTTTGTAAACGACGAGCAACGTATTTTCCGACGGAATAACCATCGCGACGTCGTACATAGAC